GCAATCAAAGGCAGAAAACCTGGTCAAGGGATAGGGGAAGAGGAGGAACAATCCGGTGAGGGAAGCGAAAGATGGTGGTGTCATTGACATAAGCTCGTTTTCCAGCTTTAAGCTCAGTCGCATCTCCGAGTATATCTCCCGGCGTTACTACTAGCTCCGGCGAATCTTTCATTGAATCGATTAGAGAGGAATGATTAAGGAATCAGCCACGAGTTTGGTTATTGACCTGGCCTAAACCTTGTTTTCTCTCAAACTAATTAAACCCTAGGAAACAAAGCCAAAATATGATTATAAATACAAATAAAATCCATGATTTAGCAAAACCTCGGCTGTAGCGCAATGGAAAATTGATGTCTTAGTATGAATTTCATGGCTTTGATATGATTTTCGGGTTCGAAGCCCGTCAGCGAAAAATTATTTTGTTATTTTCTTATCAGTTTTGTTTTTATAATAAGATATAGGGTTCGAAGCCCGGCAGCGGAAAATTATTTTGTTATTTTCTTATCAGTTTTGTTTTTATAATAAGATCTACATGTTTTTCTCTCTAACTAATTAAATCCTAGGAAACAAAGCCAAAATATGATTATAAATACAAATAAAATCCATGATTTAGCAAAACCTCCGCTATAGCGCAATGGTTAAAATTGATGTCTTAGTATGAATTTCATTGCTTTGATATGATTTACGGGTTCGAAGCCGGGCAGCGAAAAATTATTTTCTTATCAGTTTTGTTTTATAATAAGATATACATGTTTTCCTCTCTAACTAATTAAACCCTAGGAAACAAAGCCAAAATATGATTATAAACAAACAAAATCCATGATTTAGCAAAACATCTGCGGTAGCGCACTGGTTAAAATTGATGTCTTAGTATGAATTCCATGGCTTTGATATGATTTTCGGGTTCGAAGCCCGGCAGCGGGATTCAGTTAGTGTCTCTTTTCTAACCCCCCCATATTTCATTAATCTAAGTTTGTAATAACTTAGAACGTACTTGCCAATTCAATTTGTCAAACATAACCTTAACATTTAAACCAAAAAAAATTGTCAACAAAACAAACAAGAAAGTAGTTTGTTGTATACTCGTTCACTTGGAAAGTAAAGAGAACTGAGGAATTGTAAGACAATTGTAATGACGAGTGTGGGGCTATACAATAAGCACAACTTAGGGACAACCTTTGTAAATTTGTAGAGCTTCATCTGAACAAGTCTCTATTTAACCATGTCATTTATTGTCCATATGAAATCCATGTCATTTATTGTCCATATGTATGATGAATAATTGTATCTTGAAATTTTGTACACGAGACATGATGTTAAGCTAAATGCAGATTGAAATAGCAAGCTAGCTTCTATCAAGTTAGGTTTGGCAGTTTCGAAGCTGAACATTTGATTACGTTCAATCTAATAAAGCATGTTCTATCGTGTCTGCGACGGACCACCAACATTTAACAAATCAAGAATACAGAAATTGAATACAGAAAGAGCTCAGCGAATTGTGTTTGTCATTGTATCTTCTGGCGCAAAAACAAGAAAAAGCATATCAAACAAGATTACAGAGCGAGAAAGGAGAGAAACAACCATCAAGCCCGTTTGCCGCTGCTAGGGTTGGACTTAGGGCAGAGGTTCCAGCGTCCCTTGGCACGTCGGCGCTTAATGGTTGCTCTACCACTAGTGGTCCTCATCCTCAAACGGAAACCGTGAGTTCTCGCCAGAGATTTTCTTGATCTGCTTCTCTTTGTTTGACACAGAGCAGCTTTTCCAGCTCTCACCACAAGCCCTCTGCGTCTCTGGCCATTCAGTCCACTAGTTCCACTCCTGAGATCAAACGCAATGGACAAACCTGAAAAGACAACAACAAACAACAATTTCGATCAATATGACGACATTAGATGGATAATCTTCATTCCAATCTCTCAAGATCAAGCTGATACGATTGGTAGCAGTTCAATTACACCATACAATAGACTTGACTAAACTCTCTGACTATTCCTTAGATCCAAGACCCTAGACAAATACAGTGTGATCCCAATGCATTCTCCTAGCTATCCCCCTTTAAAGCCTGCATCCAAACTGGCAAAGTTACAATTCACTGTTCAAACCTAAGGCTAGTTACAATAGTCCTGCACTAGACATAACAAGAACATTCATCCATCCCCATGAGGCTGCAAATACATTGTTTACAGAAACCCAGTCTTAACTTGCAAAATGCGATTTTTCACTAGTTATATAACTTTCTTTCTCACACCGAAAATCGAATTCACCACAACAACTATGTTTCATATCTTCCCAATTCATCATCATCAAAACTCTCGTATAAAAGCAAGCTAGAGCCAACAATGATAATCCACAAAGCGCAAAAACTCAAAATTGGGGAAGAAAACTCGATACCCACTACAATTGCAACAAAAATTATGAACAAAAATCGACGATATTTTACCAGAAAACGTCGATGC